CGACGATCGAATGCTCTCTCCTCAATATACTGCCTCCTGGGATCTGGCTGGCGGCTACGACCCTGTTACATTGCCATGGAATTCGACCTAGGAAGGTATAAATAGTAGTGACCTCGCAGTCACCTAGAACTGAAAACGATGGATTGCGATGCTGGGAAATGTGCTTCATTTATTTGTTTTACGTGTTTGCTTCCTGAAACATAACCGCGACAGTGACCGATCAGGCCATTCTCCGATTAACACGTAAGAAAGAGTGCAGTAGAATCTCCAAAAAAATAACATGAATAGCAGTCATTATGATCACAAATTTTGTCTAGACTGAGTTGCAAGTCGTATAAAAGTACGGGGAGAAAACAAACACGAATAGAACGTTCCAGCGGATGGAATCAACGATACCGATCTTGTTTGAGGGAGATTTTTGCTGATAGCACGCAGAGCGACGGTGTGGTTAATGTCGGCGGGCTGTCAGAAGCATACATTTACCGTGTTAGCTGTTCATTGATGTCAAAAATCGAAGTCGTCGAATAAGGTGAAGAGAACAAAACCTATGCATCTATTCACATCATTCGACACTTCAGGCGATCTAACGACAACCTTCGTTGTGATAGTGCGATTTTGTTGTTGTACTTCAGCGGAATCATGCTACTGAAAGTAACATTGAAACCTTGTCATGGGGTGTAAACTCTGGATGAGTGGCCTTGTACCTGGGTACGTATGCTTTGAGTAGCACCGTCTCGCCTTTCGTGAGATGACTTTTCTTCATCAAGCGCTCATACGCCTGGTTCGGGTTTTCACCTTTATTTTCCATGTGCTTCATTGCCCTCTCCAACCAGCTCCCTTTCAACTTGGCCCAGCCACCCTTAGACTTAGCGTACAAGGCGCTCAACTTGGTCCAGCCACCCTTCATCTTAGCGACCAACGCATTCGTATTCCAATTACCCTTCACGTTACGAAGCAAGTTTGTAAACTTGGACGGGATGAGCCCTCGCTCCTCAGATCTCGCAGCCAAATTATCAGTAGATGTCATCAAATCCGTTTTAGCATCGCCTCGTAGAAATCGCTGGGCGGTAGCATCGTCGTCAACGGCAAGTAGACGAGTCGAAGTACCGAATTCCTTCGTCGTCAGATGCCCGAATGGAGTCTCATCCGAGCTAGCAACGGCGGAAGTGGCGCTGACACTTGAGAGGAAGGTGACTATTGTCACAACGAAGATCCACGCTAGCAAACGCATGCCTGCGGGGGAGGGGGGAGGTTGGAGAATGAAGTCCAATTGCAAAATGGCGTTTCCGTTCCGATGTGGCTAGAGAACCAGACTAGTATGCTGCATAGCTGTGTTGCTATCATTGGATGGTGTTGATCATCGATTTTTTCCGTGAAATCAATGGGTCGTATGAACATCATCCACCGATTCATTTTGCATTATCTGAAAATGCTCCGATTCGTTAAGTGTATCATAAAATGGCATAACGACGGAGACGTTTAATAGCTGCTACAGACT